TAAAATATTAGTGCAAATTATGTCATTAAAATGCCTTTTTCTCTGGAAAATGCTCATATTATTGCTTGCAAGGTAAACATGTTGTCTTCTACCTTTTTGTCTAATTCTTATTTTGATTCTGAGAGATCTTCGAGTGGGCAATTACTATTAGTAGAGGGCATGGTGGTGCTTGTTTAAGTGGGGACAATGTTGAATTAGGCTTTAAAGTTAACTAGTCAACTATTATGTCTAACAAAGGGGGAACTACTTCATCTACGTAGGATGATACTAATAACAATGATGATGGTACAAATATACAAGGAGCTTAAGATTCATTATTTGAGTGTGATGATTATAATTGATAGTTCGCTGTGTTTGAGAGTAATTTTTGAAATATAGGTGGTAAAGAGTTTTAAGGTCATATGTGACATATGATAACCTTTTAGAAGGTGTGTTGACAATATTGTAAAGGTGGATCATTGTTAATCCATTAATAATGTTTGTCATGGTAGGTTGGATCATCCAAAAGATTTTTTTATATGTATTCTACTTATTCCCAAGCATTCATGTTCACCTTTCCTTTAACGACTCCATAATGGGACTTTTGAGGGTTTTGAATGTTGCCCCTACTTAACTAAATACAAATAGATGGGATGTTTTGTGGGCTCTTCATATTATATATCATGAAGCCTACTCCTCAAGTGTTTTTATCCCACGACTAGATGATGTAGTGAATTTTTTTATCATTGATTGACCATTCAACATCTTCGTTTTTGCTCCATATATCTTGTCATATAATAATTTTAAGACTAGGTTTTTAAAAGTAGTTGTTGAGTAAGAGGTTTGCACATATTTATATGATGGTAATAGGTCAACATTTCCCTTTTAATGAACTTGTGATCCTTTGCCCTATTAAAGTTAACCAAAGTTCAAAAGGATTATGAAGGATGTAAGGATGTTAGAGAGTTTTGACAAGTTGTCTTGATGGTTGTCAACTCAAAAAATCCTTAGGATATATCACCCTAACTATTTTCATTCAAATCTTGATGGTATGTGTTCCTTTTGTATGTATCATTTCAAGTTTTTACTTTGTTGAATTTTTGGTTTCGTGTAAATATTATGGTCATGAACATGTTGAAGAACAAAAGTTTCTTGAAATACTTCAGTAGGATTGTGCGCTATTATCCAAGAAGGAAAATCAATTGGAGTGTAAAAATATATCTAGCCAACTCTTGATTTAATGTCTTTGCAAGCGGAAGCAAGAAAGAACCATAAAATAAAGAAAAGAATTTTCATAATCACCACAACTTAACTCTCCGATCATCACCGAAAAGGATGAGGCCTCATATAACGAGTCTAGAGTCAAACTCTTACACAACTAACAAATGTTTGGGTCATGATCATTAACTAGGCTCCAAAGTGATTGTGGAGATGTCAGTTGTAGAAAAAAATGTATGTATACCTTAACTAATGCTGATGAAAGATTACAAGATTTTATTGAGCTATAAACATATGCTCTAGTTCTTGGTTGCTGACGTGTTAAAGGTCGAGAACAACATAAAATTGAGTTATGTAAAGGGGGAATTGCCCAAGACATCAACCTTTTTAAAGGATGCTAACTTAACTCTAAATGTCAAAGTCTTTAAACAATATGATTAATGCTTAAGCTTAAAGGTTGATAATTACCTACTGAGGCGAAGGTGTGAAGGGGCCAAGTCATATAAAAGAAAATTGAGAGCAAATATTATTGACTAAGAGAAAAAGTTAATAAAGGTTATTGTTGCTATAGAGATTGAACTCAAATTAAAGGAGTAAGCCTGTCAAAAAGTGCTAGAGGCCAAATAGTTGGTTCTTCAAGAGCATGTCGAAGGCTTTCACAAAAATATTCAACAAGTGCACTTATTTGCTCAACAAGGAATTGTGTTGAGTGATGCAAAGTTTGACGTCAAACATGACCTATAAAGGGTTTTCTTTTCCATGTTAATGACAAACAATGAGGCTAACAAAAAGGTCAAAAGACTACCTATTTCTTCCTTAACTCTTCTGAAAACTCATGCTTCTCTATATTTTACATGAATTTTGTTTGTTTAACTTTGTAAAGCTGAAATAGGTTTCTAGGCTGTTTGTGGAATTTATTTATAAGGTTATACTACCTCTTACAACTAATAAACTTATTTTTCCTTTGTGGATCCTAACTTGTTATTTTTTTTAATTTTGCCACTATGAACTTCTTAATTGCTTTTACCTACTTGTTGGTCTGCTAGTGCTCCATCGAGTTGGTGACATGTCTAATATGCAATCCTTTATAGAAGTTTGTCAAACCTTTCTTGATGAATTCTTTTTTATTATCCATTATTATGGATTGTAGAATGTCAAATCAACAAATGATAATTTTTCACATGAAAGGTTGCGATTGTTGATTCATGATTCTTGTCCGTGGTTCCATTTTGATCCACTTGGTGAAGTAATATACATATAACAATAGAAAATGACATTGCCCTCTTGTTAGTAGAAACTATATAATTATGTCCATTCCCCTTATTGCAAGTGGTCATGAGAAGATTAATTGATGTAGTTCTTCTACATTTGAATTAATGAGATTGATGTGCTTGTAACATTCAAGACATTTTTTGGTATATTTAGCATAGTGAACTCGTATTATAGGTCAATAATAAACAAAAAGTAGTAATTTTCTATTTATTGTTTTTCCACCTGAATGTAATTTGCATATCCTTTATGAAACTCTTTTAGGATGTACTTTGGATATGAATTTCAACACTCTCTTGTCCTGAGATATAGAGCTAAGCTATTAACATTTCATACTCTGGTAGTTGAAAGATTTATAAGTAAAGAGCAATTATTGCTCTATCAACAAGATGTTTGGTCCTTCAAGAACGATGTTTGCTCCACTCCCCTTCTTATTTGATGATCAATCAATGTACAACATTTACTATTGATACTCAAAGGAACTTCTAGATTTATTTAGTTTATGCAATCCACCAAACTTTGAGCCTTAATTGGTCCTCTTGCCTCGTACTTGATGCTAAATTCTGTGAATTCTATAAATCATGCAATCGACTAGTTTCAATCTTTAGAGGTTATTTTTAGATGAGATCATCATAGTGCACCACAACGTTATGCTTTTGGAAGTAAGGTCGACCTTTTCAATTGTTTGGTTCTTGTTTGCTCATTTTGTAAAACCCTGCTAACATCGTAAAACGACTTATGCCCTTCACCTTTTTCATGAATCAAATAGAGCTTACAACCCCATCCAAGATTGGAAGGTACAAACAGAGTGTAGCTCCCGTAATTGGTTTTTGCAAGATCGAAGGGGTGGTAAGAAATTCTGTGTTTTTTTAAAACACTTTCTCACATGCCTCATTCTGAAACAACCATAAGGCTAAGAGGGGAACCATCCCTCAAAAGCTAGCTCAAGAGGTTGGAGAACCTCCTACCTTATAAGAATGTGGGGCTTGTTACAATACCACCCCGTTCGAAAGCCAGCGTCCTCGATGGCTGCACTCCACGACACTTCACTCACCGGCACTTCACTCACTAGCACTTTACTCGGCTTTCTTACCGGTCAGAACCCTCTAGTGGTCAGAACCCTCCGGCGGTCAGAACCCTCCATGGGTAGCCCTTCTCGAGTTGGCTGGCTCTCAACGAAAGCACCATTGAAACAACCATAAGGCTAAGAGGGGAACCATCCCTCAAAAGCTAGCTCAAGAGGTTGGAAAACCTCCTACCTTATAAGGCCTCCCTGGTAAGGAGACCTCCCCAATGTGGGGCTTGTTACACATTCCAACAGAAGGTATTTGCTTTTTCCATCAATTTAATGATTGGTTTTGTCTTGGTGAACAATTTTGGAAGGAAACGAAATAGGGACATGAATTTCCCTGAGACACAAGACCACTTTTATGTTCTTTAGGCTTCATATGCCGTTTATAACTCAACACTAACCGGGATTTTCCTCAATTCCTTTATGGGTCTGCATTCTTATACTTTGTTCGGACCAATGTAATATGTGTACATGCGTCACTTACCATTCGAATTCTTTACTAATATCACATTTGCGACGCATATGGTACAGTGAACTTTACTGATGAAACCGATTTCTAACAACTTATGGACTTTTCCCTTCGATGCTTGGTCATCTTTATTGTCCTATTTTCCTTCCTCCATGAATAAATAAGTTATTTTAAATAAAAGATTTGAAGGTAGATTCATTTAGCATAAATGAGAAGTGTAAATAGTGGGAGCCATTTGAGTTTGAATCGGAATGGATTCACCCGAACAGAAACAGCCCAATGGGTATCAGGCCTAGAAGACCCCAAAATAGTAGAAAAGATAAATAATATAAATACGGTTTGGTGGAGCTTCGATGGTATTGTGTTTAACACACATTCAAATTTAATGGAATCTTTTGTTATCTATGTATTATTATTTTAAAGTTATATTTTATCAACGATTTTTTTCACTTGTTTTATCATTTTTTTTTCAATATTTGTGTATTTTATAACGTAGGAGACCGAAATAGAAAGAGTACAAGTAGTCATTTATAAATTACGAAAACAAAATGGTAAAATAAGATACACATTTAAATTATGAAATTTATTAAGTAATAATAATTAATATAATAAAATATGTAATTTAATTTATATCATTAAAGTAAAACTCTAGATATAATGTAATGTTGAAGATAGTAAAACTATACATAAAAGATATTTCTTAGAAACAGAATACCCGGGTCGCTGAGTCCCACGTGGAATATTCTCTACCACTTACACACTATATCCACTCACTTAGCCCTGCTTCCCCTCAAAGCCACCAAAAATTCCAAGCCAATCCAAATCTCAAACATATATAACAACAATCATAGCAAGTGATGCACCTTACTTCACACTCCCAATTCCAAACATCGACAAAAAAATGCCACAACAAAACCATCTTAAACACACAAACATCCAGTAACTCATGCATCCCCTGTCTCCCTTGTTCTGAAAAAAAAAAAAAACACAAAAATGGCATCATTCCCAATGCCACAGCTTCTGCCATGCACTTCTCTCCCTCAGAGTCACAGTACCAGTACTGCATCGTCGCCGTCCTCTTTGTTCCGCCATCGCCGAAGTCTCCACTCCCTCCGGTGCTCGGCGTCCGAGAAGCCTCCGCCGCACGAGGACGCGGTGGAGCTGCCGCTCTTCCCTCTCCCTCTGGTCCTCTTCCCGGGCGCGATTCTCCCCCTGCAGATCTTCGAGTTCCGGTACCGCATCATGATGCACACGCTCCTTCACACCGATCTCCGCTTCGGCGTCGTCTACCACGACGCCGTTTCCGGCACTTCGGACATCGGCTGCGTGGGCGAGGTGGTGAAGCACGAGTGCCTCGTGGACGACCGCTTCTTCCTGGTGTGCAAAGGCCAGGGGCGGTTCCGCGTGAACGACATCGTCCGCACCAAGCCCTACCTCGTGGGACGCGTGACGTGGCTGGAGGATCGGCCGTCGGAGAGCGACGGCGGAGACGATGCGGAGGAGCTGGCGCGTGAGGTGGAGGGGTACATGAAGGAGGTCATAAGGCTTTCGAACCGTTTGGGGGGGAAGGGGGAGAAGGAGATGGGGGATTTGAGACGGAACCTGTTTCCGACGCCGTTTTCGTTTTTTGTGGGAAGCACGTTCGAGGGGGCGCCGAGGGAGCAGCAGGCGCTGCTGGAGTTGGAGGACACGGCGAAGAGGTTGAAGAGGGAGAAGGAGACGCTGAAGAACACGCTTAACTACCTCACTGCTGCTTCTGCTGTCAAAGATGCTTTTCCTTCTTCTTGATTGTTGATGTTCAGTCCATACCAAACTTCTACAGGTTGTAAATTTTGATGTGCTTTCTATTACCAACCAATCATAGTAAATATAGTTTTGCAGCTACCAATGTTCTTGCATCTTATGGATCAACGTGCCATTACTAACGCACAAGTAAATTTCTTAGAAAAATAGGATTGGCATGTTTGATTGGGCATTTTCATAAATAAATGTGAATCAACTTGAAGTAAGGATCGTGCTGCTGTGGTGTTTGGAGATGGAGATTTTACATAATTTTGCAGTTACAAAATATTATCTAAACCCAGCATGATCACGCTGAGAAGACAGAACTTGGTGAGAGGCTCGGCAATTCATTTAAATCACTGTGCGATATTTAAATTTATATTTTTATATGTTGTTTGTAATAATTAATCCACGTTCATGTCATTTATCAAAAAGAAATCAATTGAAATAATAAAAAATAGCTTGTATCAATTAAGATTAATTTATATAAGATAATTCATGTAGAAAGCTGAATTGATTGAATGAAGTTGAAACAATATAATTAGACAACTTAAATACAAATATTCATGCCAGTTTTTATATATATAGTTGTCAAACAACTTCTTTTCTTATTTCTGCAATTCTTCTCTGACTCAAGTTTAAAATTAATCAAATAGTAAATTTACCGCTTAAAAATATGTGAACTTTTCAATTTAACCTTAAAAAATTTAAAGGAAGTAAAACATAATTTTTATCTTAATCTTTCACGTCCTTATATATATATATATATATATATATATATATATATATATATATATATATATATATATATATATATATATATATATATATATATATATATATATATATATATATATATATATATATATATATATATATATATATATGTAGAATTGGTGCAAGAGGATTTAAACCAAAATTGTTAATTTACTAATTATTCATTTAGAGAAAAATTTTATTGGGTGAAAAAAAAACTTATTTAATCCTTTATTTCATAAATAACTTATTTTTTAAGAAAACAAATAAGGATTTCTTTCAAGTTATTTGAAACAATTCTAGTTATAATTATATTTGTCACCTTATCAATCTTAGAGTTGGACCTAGAGATGACAATTAAACTCGTATTCGTGAGAGCCGATCCGTCCCGTTCTCGAGTTTAATGAAAAAAACTGAGTTAACCGGAGACAGGGTGGATTCGGGTTTTTCACGCTTTCAAAAGTCGGGGAGGGGATGGGTAATGCAATCCCCACCCCGACCCCGTCCTCGTCTCTGCCCCGACTTTATATTTAAATTTAAATTTTAAAATTAGTTATTTATTTTCTTTTTCTATTACATATAATGTTATTTTTTTTATATTTTACTATTTTTACTTTTCTTCTACCTACTTTTTAAATTTTTTGTCTTTTTTAATATTTTATATCAATTGATTTATTATATTATTTTTTTTCTCTTGTCTTTCTATTTTTCACATTTTCTTAATCTTTCCAATCAATTTGTTTTTTTTTTCAATCTTCTCAACCAATTTGACGAACACAAAGTTTTTTTTTCTTCTTTATCTTTTTCTAAATATTTTATGTAAATGTTATAGTAATTACTATTATTTTATTTATAATTTATATTTATTATGTCATATTTTTTTAATCTTATTATTCTTATTTGTCATATATCAAAATTTCATCTTCATAAAATAATTGTATTTTAAAATATTAAAAAGAATTGATAATTTAAACTTTTATTACTTCAAACTAATTAAATAAGAATTAACTTATTAAATATTTCCTTATAAACTATATATTTCATATTTTTAAATGACAACTTAAAAATAAATTAATTTATACACATAATCAAATGTTTGAATAATAATAATAATAATAATAATGATAATAATAATAGTAATAATATAAGTATTCAAATATTTGAATATAGTGTTATAATAATAATAATGTTATAAATATTCTATATATATATATATATATATATATAATGATTAAATATTTCTTTTACATGCATATTTGAATATAAATATAATAAATTAAAATATATTTAATTAATAATAATTATAGATTATAAATATTTATTCACATATATAAATACATAATAAAACTAATTTATTATAAATATAATTATCTTTTTAAAAATAATATAGATCCAGGAGGATCATGTGGAAGTCCAACCAAAATAGAAGAAGGAGGATTAAAAAAAGTTAAGGTTGAGGAGAAAAAACCCAACCCCGGATTTTGCCATGCCTAGTTGGTGTAATTTAGCCCAATCATTAGTCCCAGACATTTAACTTTTAGGCTTTGTTTGGTTGGAGTGATTTGAGAGAGTGGAATTGAGAGAGTGGAAAAAGAGGGATTTGAAGAGAAATGGAGATGATTGAAAAGTGAAAGGAAAGTTTATGGGAAATTGTGAATGATTTGATTGATATGAGATATAAAAATTATAATTTTATGTTGATTATTTAAGAAAATTACCATTTTACCCTTTGTATAAAATAAGGTTTAAATGATTATAAATATAAATTTTTAATTAATTATCCATATTTTAACATTGATTATATATTTAAAAGAAAAAACAAAATTAAAAGTGTTTGTAATTGGAAACAAATTTAAAAAATTAACTTTTTTTAGATAGTTATTAAAAATTATATAAATAAACAATTACAAAATTATGTACATTGCATATCCATATTCAAATAATGTTGACATATTAAATAAATTATTTGACTAATAATTAAATAATTATAAAATATAAAATAATAATTAATATTGATTGATAATAACAAATAATTATGAAAACTAATAATATAATTGTACATTATTATTTAAAACAAATATAAAATACAAGTGAAAATAGAATAATAATTAAATGAAACATTACTAAAATTATAAACCTATGCACACTAATGCTCTTCAAACAAATAATTATAATGTTATTCATCTTTTGCGATCAAGTCCTCCAGTTCAGATCATTCAATCACTTCCACTCAAGAACATGAACAACTGGGAGAGACGTAGATGTCCCATATATCTGACTCCGAATGTTGAAATGTTGATGATCGTCTCATCACATTAACTTGAGATAAAATAATTACAATATAATTTTCTACTTTAAGAATTAATAATATAATTAAACTCAAAATTGAGAATACTCTTATACATTTTGAACTCTTTTGGATAAATTTTGTTTTCCTAATTTTTGATAAAGTTAATTTTAATATTTAAAATTATTTAACATTTTGAATTCTGAAAGGTTTTCTCTAATAGCAAATTAAAAAACATAATATTCAAAAAAATATTTTAAGATTCAGTCTCGGGTTGCATTTCGCTCGAGCGACTATATCTCGCTCGAGCGAAAAATGATCCTGATCGATCATAATTTGAAATGATCGATCATAATTGGAGGATATAATAGCGGTTCCTCTGTAACCGCTATCTAAAGTGTATATTAGATAGCGGTTCCAGTGGAACCGCTATCATATACAACCATATTTTAATTTCTTGAGTCTCGGGTTGTGTTTCGCTTGAGCGACTATATCTCGCTCGAGCGAAATATGATTCTGATCGATTAGATTTTCGAAATGATCGATCATATTTCATAATTTTTTCAAATAATTAATTCTAATCGATTATTTTTCTAAATTATTGATTAGAATTGATTAGTTTTTCAAATAATAGCTTAGAATTGATTAATTTCGAAATATATATTAAAAAATTATAATTAAAAATATAGATTATTTAAGAATATTAACTATTGTAAAGATAAAGTAGAACATGGGAGGAGATGGGGATGATAATATAATGATAGAAGTTACAAAAATGTAGAATTGAGAAGTTTGAAACAAAAAAAAATTAAGAAAATAGAGATTTAATTACACTTTTAATAAATTGAAGATAATTACAATATAATTTTCTACTTTGAGAATGAACAATATAATTAAGAAGATCAAGTGTAATGTTATTGATGCTAATTTTAACAATAATACAATAATATTATTTTCGAAAATGCCCATATTCATGTGAATATTTTGATTATTATTATATAAAATAATTAAAAGAATAAGGTAAATAGAAAAGTAAAATGCATGGTTATACCACTTTCCTTTTAATCTATAATTAGTTAGGTATGAATCAAATGTAAAGTCTAATGTTATTGATGCTAATTTTAAGAAGATCACAAAATGTAAATTAAATAACTACAATATAAATTTCTACTTTGAGAATGAACAATATAATTAAACTCAAAATTGATAATACTCTTATACATTTTTGAACTCTTTTGGATAAATTTTGTTTTCCTAATTTTTGATAAAGTTAATTTTAATATTTAAAAGTATTTAACATTTTGAATTCTGAAAGGTTTTCTCTAATAGCAAATTTAAAAACATAATATTCAAAAAAATATTTTAAGATTCAGATCTCGGGTTGCATTTCGCTCGAGCGACTATATCTCGCTCGAGCGAAATGCGATCCTGATCGATCATAATTTGAAATGATCGATCATAATTGGAGGATATAATAGCGGTTCCTCTGTCACCGCTATCTAAAGTGTATATTAGATAACGGTTCCAGTGGAACCGCTATCATATACAACCATATTTTAATTTCTTGAGTCTCGGGTTGTGTTTCGCTTGAGTGACTATATCTCGCTCGAGCGAAATATGATTCTGATCGATTAGATTTAAGAAATGATCGATCATAATTAGAGGATATAATAGCGGTTCCTCTATAACCGCTATCTAAAGTGATATATAATAGCGGTTAAGATTTAACCGCTATTAGAAGTGATATATAATAGCGGTTATGTTTTAACCGCTATTAGAAGTGATATATAATAGCGGTTAAGTTTTAACCGCTATTACAAGTGCTATTATAATAGCGGTTAAGATTTAACCGCTATCATATGGAAGAGGGTAATTTGGACATTTCATTATCTCCAGCAGACTTTCGTCTCTTTTCTTCGCAGATTAGCGAAGAAAGTCTCTCTCCCCTCTCCCCCTTTTCCTC